TCATACCCTCGAATCATTTCAAACTGCCCGGCCCGACTACGGTAAAAACAGCACACACCTATAGACAGCTTGAGTCGGTCAACCAGTGGCAAAGCACCCGGTATCAAGAGCCACCGCCTTCAGCGCCGGATGCCTGCAAATCCCCTCAAGCAGACGACGCGAAGAACCATCCCACACAAATGTTGCACACACACAGGTATATGATATAATTACTGATGTATATATATATACACCTTCTTTTGGGGGGGGCTTAAGGTAAATATTGGGGTCCTTGACTGTTCACATTCTGTTGCAACTCAGACTTGCGTTGCATCCGTTCAATGAGTCAAAACGAGCTCCTGTTATCGTGACATATCATGCTATCCATCATTGCGCGTCAGGGCCGCGGCCACCAGCTGGGCCTCCGCCGAGTTCACTCAAGCGCCCAGTAGAGCCATCGGCGCCACCTCAGCCAAGTAAACCTGCTGCCAAACCAGCTGCCAAGCCAGCTAAGCCAAGCCCTCAAAAGCAAAGAGCGCAGGGCAAACGACAACGATGTTCACTACGTGTAAAATGTTGAGTCAATTATGTTGAATTATGTGTATGTGTTTTCTGCTTTCTCAGATCTGGGGCGCCGCAGCCACCGAGGGAGCCACCATCAAAGTAGCCTGGCAAGTTGAGGAGTCAATCCAATGCAAAAGTCTTGCAAGTTTGGAAAATCATTTTGTTTTAGGCCCAAGAATTCTGTCTATGCAACGCCAGATTCCCAGGGTGCGATCCCACCACATTGGAAATCCAGATAGAATTGAACTGTGTGTACAGAAAGTAGCAAGACATGGACAAGAAGAAAGGCATCAAGAAGTCTTGAAGACATGCTTCATAAATGCAGACTTCTGTTTCCTCGGTGCAGCTGTTCACTTCACCGTTGTGGAAGGCTGCAGGTCCTTGACATGTGAAAGCTTTGTTTGTAGCATAAATGGTGGGCTCAGCAACCGAGGATCCTAGAGGGCATAGATGAAAGCGCATCCACACTCGTTGCAGAGGTGCACCTTCTCAAGAAGAATTACTGTATATTTGCTACAATTCGATTTGTATGTTTTTCGTGTTCTTCTTGGGCTTGCTTTGGTCAGGGCTATCCAGCTTTTGCTCCCATAGTTGCCCATGAAGCAAGCATTCAGGAATTGCTGTCCAAAGCTCAGAGTCATCTCGGCAGCAAACCGCAGAACTTTGCCTGTCCTTTGCCCATGCGCAGCAAGCACAATCAAAAGGCAAACTTTGACAGGAGCGACTCGAGTAACATACTTTGGGATTTGGCTGAAGATGTGCCCTGCTCTCAGAATCCACCGGTTGCCCTTCGAGTCTTTACCAAGTTCTCAGTTCTCATGTTCAGGTTTGAAGATATCACACTCACTCACGACACGGACTGGGCAGAAAAACTTTATTCGTAGACAAAAAGGATGTGAGGAATCTGTTTTGCAGATTCTTTAGTCTTTCTCTGTCTTTCACGCTTACCAATACTGCCTTGGCCTCCAATCCCTCGTGAAGGAGTGGACACTTTTCCCGGAGGTGGGGCTCGATGGTGGGACTGCACATGACAGGACAAAGTAGCAAATTTCGAATCAAGACCAACAAGCTACAAGCTACTCATCACAAATTGACTGTTCCTTGGAGCATTGAATGAACTAGCTTCCTTGCACAACATGCCAGGTGGGGCAAGCTGCGCGCAATCAGGGCTTTGAATATGTGGCACTGTGTATTGCAATTTGCTGTGTCCTTAGAGCTTGGGGGTGAATTTGTTCTGAATGCGTAACGAAGGGTTCTCGTTTAACTTTGGGGGGTGGGGGTAAACTCTTGTTCGCGACTCGTTGTCGTAGCCTTCGCAACCGTTGTCAGGTGTTCGCAACTCGCAACCGCCGTTAACCGCCCGCGGTAGGGAGTTATGGCGCTGACATTGTGAAATAGCGAGGAACGTGTGGCAACGATTGGAAATGTAACAGGATGAAGTGTGGAGGACGATTTTGCTGCGGAGGTGCAGCGTTTGGTGAGATTCTCCGTTCTCTTCGCTGTCAGATTGGGATTGGGTGGTGTTATTGAGGTGTTGGATGTGTCTGTGACATTGGGATTTGCGATTGAGGCTGCAACGTGTCGAAGTCATTCCAAGCGGGTGGTGCAGTGCAAGCTTGGCGGAAGACGAACATGATTGAACATGTCATATCGTCACTTTGTGGCATGAGCTTTGTGTTTGCTTCGCAGGCTTCAAGCGCGACATTTCCAGGAAGTCTTTTACAAAGTGCTCGTTTTGCAGACTTCACGTGTGAGTTTTGGAGGATGTCTCGCACAAAATTTGGAGACTTGACATGTATGTGTGTGTGTGTGCGTCACACTCCGTTTCTAGGAGTCTCGTTTTGATGCAGGGGGGCAGAGAGGACTTGCAAGGCTCTGCTCAACGAAGCTCCTTGCAAGATCCTAGGAAGCGGAAGCTGATCACTTCGGTGTACCTGCTCGTGACACTACACCATTTTTCTCGCTGTCTTTTGTTTCCGTGGTCCTTGCATGATGGACCCCTAAACCTTCCTTTTCTCCACCGCTGATTTCCAGCCGTTGCCGTTCAATCATTCTGTTTCCGCGGACTCAGCCACTATTCCATTGCACATTCATTTCCTCGTGGATTATGACACTGGATAAACCTTTACCATGCTTTATCTAAGTGTGACTCGCTGCGCTTTCCCACCTGGGTGCGCAGTGTGATCCTCTCGCCAGAGAGGCGCTGAAGCCATCGTGTATCACAAATCGAATTTGCCACCCGCATTCGTGGATTTTGGTTCCATGAACTGTGTTTCACCCATGAAACACCTGACCCCCAAGCGGCCGCACCAACGGTTACTCATGCTGCCGAGCTCACGGTTTACACGCGCATGTACATACACCTCTTCTCCCCCCCTCCCCCTGCTTTCTCTCTTGTGCTTTTTCCGTTTTCTAGGTGTTCTTTCAGGCTCGTTAGGTGGTTCTTGAGGCTCGTTTCCCTGCCCCTCGGTTTTTTGGTTCTTTCTCTCTTGCCTGGTCCTTTCTCTTTCTAGGCCTGCCTTTTCGCTAAAGGCTTTCTAGGTGTGTAATGAGGTCTTTTTCCTTTCAGTCAAGGACAGTCAAGGACTAAGTAGTCAAGTGCTAAGTAGTCACCCTTTTTCGCTACTCCTATCTTTCTCTCTTGCCTTTTTCGTTTCCCACTTTCTGTCTTTTCTCTCTTTTCCAAGGCTCGTTAGGTGGCTAATCAAATTTGACCCCGTAATTTGCCGCTCGTGCGGCAGACATGCAGGCCCCTACACCTATTTTCTTCTCTTGTCCTCTTCGGTTTTCCTTTTTCTTGTTCATTCTTTTTCTTTTCTAAGGGTTGTTAGGTGACTATTGTCAAAGGGGCACCCTGCAGCGGAGCCTCCTGTGTGTGCCACACTCCGTTTCTAGGAGTTTTGTTTTGATGCAGGGGGGCAGAGAGGACTTGCAAGGCTCTGCCCAACGAAGAAGCGGAAGCTGATCAGATCCGTGTACCTGCTCGTGACACTACCCCACTTTTCTCGCTGTGGACTCATATGACACTGGATATACCTTATCTAAGCGTTGTGAATTTTGGAGGAAGTCTCGTACGAAACGCTCGTTTTGGAGACTTTGACGCGTGACTTTTTGGATCACGATGAGGGCGTCTATAGTCTAGTACGAAAAGCTCGCTTTGCAGACTTGACGCGGGACGCTTGACTTTACGAGGAAGTCTTGTACGCAACGCTCTTTTTGCAGACTTGACGAGTAAGCTTCGCACAAAACCCTCGCTTTGGAGACTTGACGCGTGAAATTTGGAGGAAGTCTCGTGCGCAAGGCTCGGTTTGGAGACTTGACGTGTGACTTGGAGGAAGTCTTGTGCGAAAGGTTGGTTTTGAGACTTGACCCATGACTTTTCATTTCAATCAAGAGTGGCTCACAAGAGTGCCCTATAAGAGTGTCCCACAGGAGTGCCCCACCACCACCACCACCAGAGCGTCGTACCTGAGAGTCCTACAAGAGTGTCCCGCAAGGGTGTGTCCGACAAGGGTGTCCCACAAGAGTGCCCCACCTGAGTGTCGCACGCGAATGTCCCACAAGAGTTTTCCACAACACTGCCCGACAAGCGTGTCCCACGAGAGTGCCCCACAAGAGTGTCCAACAAGAGTGTCCTACAGGAGTGCCCAGCGAGAGTGTCCCACAAGAGTGTCCTACAAGAGTGTCCCACAAGAGTGCCCGACAAGAGCGTCCTACAGTGTCCCACACAAAAGTGTCCCACCAGAGTGTCGTATGTGACCTCAGAACTGGACACTTCCAAGCTAGTACAAATGCAGTGCGGGAAGCGGTTTCTGGCAGCCGGCCTCAGAACTAAGAACTGGCAACTTGTAGTATACAAACGCAGTACGGGAAGCAGTTTCTCGGAGCTGTGGCCTCAGAACTGGCAGCTAGTTGTAGTGCGAGATGTGGCAAAAATACATTTGAGTACGTGCGTGTCGCACGTGAGTGTCCCACGAAATTGTTGTCCTACAAGAGTGTCCCGCAAGAGTGTCCCACAAAAAAGTGTCTCCTACAAGAGTGTCAAACAATGTTTGGCTGTTTGTCTTCGAGTGCGTGTGTGCCTTCGGGTTAGCGGGCTCCATTTTGATGAGCTCTTGATGGAGGAAGTTAAATGAGCACAGTCTTTAAAGCACTGATTGAAGACGCTGTTGATGCCTCTGTGATAGTTTAAAGAAAAATCATTTGGGGCATGTGTCATCACCACTTTGATGCAGGCTTGCTTTCAACAAAGCCCCTTCCTAAACCTTCCAAGAGTTCCTCAGATTGTTTCATGTTTTCGTTTGTTCTATTTGTTTTCCCTTGTGTTTCAGTTCCTTAGATTTTTCCAGCCTTCCTGTTTCCCTTTGTCGTTTTTCCTGTTTTTTGTGTCAAGGGTATATTCCAGATCTTCTCTTGGCCAAGGCAGTGAGATGTCTTTTTGCGGATACTGAACCAAGGTCCTTCCAGAGCTGTCTGGGGCGCTCGACCCTTGAGATCCAAGAACTTTCGAACCTAACAGGGAGATGCCACTCCTAAGAGGATGTGCAAAAGCATTCAATACCCTTCCTGCATGACAGGTAGTGCAAACCTGTTACTGTACAGCCAATGATGTACTTGAGGTGGGCCTGGCCGGAAATGTCAAGAAGAGGACACAGGCTGCAAGGCTGGTGTTTTTTCTGCAGCTGAATGCCTTCTGCGTGTTTGTTGTTTCTCGACCAGGGTCTACGTACCAAGCTGTTGATAAAGTCAATAGCATGTCAGCGTAGCCTTCTGAGATATTGCATGGCCATTTGTGAAGCCACTTGAAGACACTCTGCCATTGGACAAAGTAAAAAATGTGAGGTGGTTTGAGTCTTCAAACATCATCGACGGATATTTATGCGCAAGGCTAGCTTTGTGCTTGGCCTTGGCCTCGACCTCAAAGTGTACCAAGGCCTTCACCAAGTCTGACTCTGAGACTTCCAAGCCCCTTTCTGTCAGAAGACTGCAAGCAGGCTAAGTAGATGCAAACTAAGTCTTGTTTTCCCACATTGAATTGTTTAGGATGTCGCAGGACAGAAGATACAACTCTTTTCTGTTTAATTGCGGACGACTACAGTACTGTATGGCACTGCATGGTAGGTCCGGCCTCGCTTTCATGCGGAGCAGCCAAGCATGGCTAAGTTGATGTGATTCGAGGCACAAAGGCTTTCAGGAGCTGTGCGAGATGGTGGGCGTCGAGCTACAGGCGAACCCTGCGAGTCCTTGGACAATAGGGCTGGAGTTTTGGTGTGTGTTTGCGAGGCCACTTAAAGGTTCTGGTTGATCACACCTATAGACAGGTCTTGCTTGAAACATACATTTCAAGAATGTTATGTTGGGAATGGGAAGCAAAAAGTTTCCAGGGTTGTATGGTCGTGATCCACACACTTGATGACCAGCGGGCCCCTATCCAATGCGCTGTTTGATCCACAGCTGTGCAGTTCTGCTGAAAAGGGGACAGATTTGCACCGGATGACAATCAAAACGTCAGTGTTTCCGAAGCGATGTCAGCAGGCAGAAAAAACGGTCTATGAGTATGTCGAGAAGGCTGTCAAAGCTGCAGGGCTTCTGAATTACTGTTATGCATGACTCACACAGAGCGCAGGCAATATGAAGCGCTGCACCTGCGCATAACACTGATCCTAGTACCATGCACCATCAGTTGCAGTTGCGTTTGCTTGCCATTTCACATCAATCGCAAACGAACACAACGACATGGAGAGGAAACACAGGTTTGAGAGAGATTGCGCACCATCACCATCACAACCACCTCCATCACCACCACCCAGACCATCACCACCACCATCATCATCACCAACATCAACATCACCACCACCATCATCACCACTATGTGTACAGAGTATGTTTCGTTTGCAAGACCATTGTGAACAATAGTGATGTGAAAGGCATCAAGAAGGAGGCATGACACGGATGATCCTCCAATGTGTGCTGCAGATGATCCCTCCCAATTTTAAATATGTTTTGGACTATTCCCAGTTCTTGCTTAAAAGTAAAGGCAGAGTGCCGCAGATGATCCCACATGCGTGCGGCACATGATCCCCTTCCCCAACCATGCACATCCACCCAGAGTTCAACGAGAACATACACATTTGGGAAATGCAAAATACGGTATGTGAAACAGCAAAGTTTGACGGAAATACGCAGCACCCCCCCATTTTCAAACCGCAGCAAACCACAATGCGTTGCTTTGGGTTACTGAAAGTTGCAAACGAATGCAGCAACTGAAGTCGTACTTTGTAACAACTGTAACAACCAACCTGCGCGCAAACAAATATTATTGTGAAACCAGCATGACGGACGGCTGTGTAGCTTGACACCAATCCACCGTGGAACCTCTTGGCCCAACCCTAGGGGCCGTAGCTGTATCCGACCTGACAGGTCTTTTTACCACCCATGGCCTAGGGAAAAGATTGGGCGCCTGGCGGCTTCAGTGGTAGCGCGGAGCTCCTTGGTCCTATCCAGGAGCCTGTGGGAGAGACTTGATGGGGGACGTGGAGCAGGGCTTCTCGAGGGCAGCCGGGGGCTACGCTTCGACGAGTGGAGCGATGGGAACGAGAGGAGAGACAGGTAGAGATAGGGATCCCCCGCCAGGGTACGACGGGTTAGATCCAGAGACCACCTTTCGTCAGTACGAGAAGCAGGTGGCCTTGTGGGAGTACGAGACGGAGGTGGTTCGGGCGAAAAGAGGTGTGAATCTCATTCGGCATCTCTCAGGTGTAGCTTTGACAGCTGTGGACCACCTCGAGATCGAGCAGATCACCGGTGAGGAAGGAGTCAAGAACATCTTGACTGCTTTGAGGGAGTTCTTCAACCCACACCTGGAAGTCTCCCTTCCCCGTGCCTTCGAGGCCGCAGTTTATGGTGCACCAAGATCCGCGAAGGAGACCTTTGGCGAGTTCACCAAGCGAATGGAGAGGGCATTCGTGAACCTGGCCAAGGAAGGAGTTGACCTACCAGACGGTGCACGCGGGTACATCATGTACCAGCAAGCCTCCCTGTCCGAGTCTCAGGAACAGCAGCTGTTGACATGGGCGCAAGGCTGCTACAATCGAAAAGAGATCACGATCGCACTCCGCAGGTTGGACAAAGTCATTCGGGACAAAGGCAAGACTGGCTTCATGACTGAAGAGGGCTATGAGGCTGAGATCCACATGGGTGAGGCCTACTTGAATGAAGATTCCGGCTACCCGGATGACGACGATGAGAACTTTGTGTACATGTTACATCGCCGACAGCGACTTGGATGAAGTCATGGATGAACAGGAGGACGTACAGGCCTTGGCCTCGTATCAGGAGACACGTCAGGCATTGAAAGAACAGAGGCTCAACCGGGGCTACTACCCGGGCAAGGGATGGCAAGGGCAAAGGAAAGCTCAACCCGTTCCAGAAGGGCAAGGACAAGGGGGCGCAAGGTGCACATCGAGCAGCTGAAGCTTAGGTCTCGGTGCAAAAGGTGCCAACAAATCGGACACCGGGCTCGAGAGTGCACCAATGCACCAGCTCCCACGAACGGGGACGGCCGAGCTTTCTTTGTTGGCTTGGCTCCAGAAAGCCAGGGCTCGCGCAGCGAATCCAACTTTTGGCTGCGTCAGTTTTTGCAAGACCAAAAGGGTCAGAGTTCTTCGAGCACGCCAGACGGCAAGGCAGATGCCGGCATACATGGAGCGCCCAGCGTTCTGCGGGATCACCACCAAACCAGTTGAGGGGGTTGTTGACACGGCAGCTGAAGGGGGTTTGATTGGTTCGGTTCCGTTGGATGCACTTCAATCGGAACTACATGCACGAGGGCTTCAACTACAGTGGACACCCAAAAGATCACAAGCAAAAGGAGTAGGCGGCAATGCGAATGTTTTGGGAGTGGCCATGATTCCTATTGGTTTAGGGGGCATCAATGGAGTCCTGGAAACCACCGTGGTTGAGGGAGACGTGCCGTTCCTTCTTCCCATTCGAATGCTTCGTGCTCTCGAATCGTTGATCGACTTGAAACGTTGTACATTGACTTTGCAAGCACATGGTCACATGGAAGAGTTGTTGATTTGAACGTTTTACCAAGTGGCCACATCACAGTGAACATTTTCTCATTTGGCAGCGGCGAGTTCGTCACACCCGAAGATCGGCATGTCCACTTGTTTTGAAATGAAGCCTCAATGTTTCATCTCAGCTATGCATGAGTACTCAAGGAGAGTGCAGCTCGAAATTCGCTCACGAGCCAAGCCCCGCATCTATCCCACAGCCGCACCATGGCGGGCATCCTTCAGATGGCATAAGGGCTGGTGGGAAAGCGTCCAACGGTGGATCCTACACCAATGGACACGGAAGCTCGTGTGATCAACCCAAAGATTCCGCTTCGGAATTGGCGGGTCGTCTTGGACAAGATCGCCACCATTTTGGTGCTTGGAGCTGGGTTCCTCGCCGCAGGGGTCCAAGTCAGCGGACAGCGTCGAGGACTACTACGCCGAGGTGATCATGAATGGCGCCCCATTGAAGCCACTCAAGTCGAAGAGCGCACCTACTGTCTCGGCGAGTTCATGCATCCACCCGAAGGGACAGCTTCGTGGGGGAGGCAATGGGACCTCCTCGTACGTGGTGTGCCGAGCGTGCCATTCCAGGTGGGCCCTAGAAGGAAGAGCGGCAGACATCCGGAAGCAGCTTCATGAAGCAAGGCCCCTTGAGCATGAAGATGGAGAGTCCGCCCCAAGTTCGAGGCTCTGCAAGTTCCGCCCCAATGACTCCTGTGAGGAATGGAGGACCCATCATGGATCGAGTGCCTCCAATGCCAAACACCCCGATGAGAACTCAGGGAGCCATCCAGGAGGGCTGGCCATCACCAGCGGTCTCCGAGCAAAGCTTGCACGAGATGAAGGAGAGCCTCCGGCAAGAAATGGATATGAACAACCAGATCATCCTGCAGCAGCTCAAGAACGAGCAGGCGGCCTCCATGATCAGATCTCGCAGGCGAGCTACACCCAGGTCAACCACCTGGTGGAGGAGATGAGGAAGACCGCCAATGCCAGCCGAGAACAAGAACTCCGGCCAGAGAAGCTGCTGCAGATGCTGGTCCAATTGCAGCAGGAACAACACCCAGGAGCCGGGTCACTGCATTCACCTCCACGGCCACCGCAATGTCCGGCTTCTTGCCCTCGCTGGTCGCATCCATCTCGTTCTCCCACTCGAAGTAGTCGCAATGCCTCAGCACGCACTTCCAGAATTTCCTTCCCTTGCGAGGGTTGTCCTCCTTCTTCACCACCAACATCTCCGCCGGTTTCTGGCGTTTGCGCAACATCATCTTTGACGGCGAACCTGGTGGCATCCTAGGACCTGGAGGTGCAGACAGTGGCTTCCTCACTGAATCCAAGGAGGTCCAAAAGCCCCGAGGTCGGAGGGACTGGTCCCTGTTGGAGTGAACACGCCGGTTCCCTCGACACACTGGTCCAGGGTCTCGCAAACTCGCAAATGTCGCCGAAGACGACAGATTGAGTGGTGGTCATCGACGACCTCCTCTAGATCCGGCATGGCACCTTTGTGAAGGAAAGAGACCGACCAGGTGGGCAAGGAAGGCTCAGAGAGGGCAGAATCCCTACTTCGTGGTGGACAAGGAGTACTACATGTGGGACCATGGCGAGTGGAAGAAGAAAAGTGTGGAAATTGAAGAAGATCACTTCAACGACCGGAGACTGAGCAGGGCCAACAAGAAGAAGCTGGCCAAGGCTATGAGAGAAAGGATGGATGCAGTGCAGATTGGGGAAGTCTATGGTCCTGGACGCATGAAGGAGGCAGCAAGTGAATGGAAGTTGTCCATGTCCACGTGCTATGACCTCCTCACTGGATGGGACCTGGCACAAGAAGATCACAGAAAAGCTATGTGGCAAGCTTTGAGAGAAGAGAAGCCCGACTTCCTGATCATCAGCCCACCGTGCACTGCCTTCAGCCAGCTGCAAGCGGTCAACTGGGGCCGGATGATGCCACAAAGAAGAGTGGCACTCCTGAAAGCTGGGCTGGAACATCTCCAGCTAGCAGCTGCGGCGGTGAAGTGGCAACTCAACCGTGGAGGCCATATCCTGTTTGAACAACCAGCTGGCGCCAGCTCGTGGAAAGAACCATGCATCCAGGCAGTAGCACAGAGGCCAGAGGTCTACACCATTGTGAACCATCAGTGTCAATTTGGGCTGAACGTCGATGGTCTCGGGCCCAACAAGAAGCCAACCCGCTGGATGTCCAGCTCACATAAAGGTTCTGTCACGGCTCAACCGCCGATGCGCCGGGGAACACACGCACACACCCTCCAGAACGGCATGCCTGCCAAAGCAGCCATTTATCCACCACAACTGTGCCACGCCATTGCTCAGGGCATCGCTGAACAGACGCAGGCTCAGGAGCGCTATGCCGCGGACGCTGAGGAAGAAGAAGATGAGGAGGTAGAAGGACCTCCAATAGAAGAACAGGAAGACCACGGCGCAGTGACAGAAGTGGAAAAGAAGGCACTCATGAAGGTGCACAAGGCCGTTGGTCATCCGCAGAACCAGGAG